CTGTGACCATAAGCTATGCAGCCCACAGCAACTCGAACTTGGGTTTTATAGACAGATGAATAACTCAAAATGATCAAATGTAGCAACAGAATGATGTAAAGAGTAGTATATGTGAGAGGCTTTTTTTGTGAATCACAAATGTCACATGAAGAGCTTGACTACCCTTGTCCTGTTGCAGGCAGTGAGCAGTACATGAGCAGTGCTCACCTTCCCAGGAAGCTGGCATTTGTTTTATGTATGAATGCAGTTTACTTTCTGGTTTTTTATCATTTTAAGCAAGTAATGAGAACCACATATTGCTTTCATTAGTCAAAAAAGTATTTTCTGCAATGAGCTCTAAGCCATGTCAGGGCTGCTATCTCTACAGATTATCTGTGTGGGGGATGAGGTATGCTGGGAGAGGAGGGGACACATGTCCAGGCTGACTTGCAGCAGTTGAGTTTTGTGATGGCTATCCTCCTAAGCCACCAGGTCCTGCAGTTGGGATTGTTGTGTGGAATTTCTCAGTGCTGAGGCACAGCCACAAGACTGCTGCACCGAGCACTCTGGGAGGAAAAGCTCTGTGTTTTTTCAGCAAGGAGGTGAAGAGTTTGTGCTACCCCTGCAGCAAGGGATGATGCCCAGGCTGGGGAGGATGGGCTGTCCCCATCTTCTTCATGTAGATCCAGGTGTGGCTTTGCTGCATCAGCTGAGGCATCCAGGTGCCAAATCCTCCCTGGTCTTTGTTGCATTCAGGGCTGGTGGGTGCTCAGCACTCTGATCCACCAGGACCTCTCCACAGGCACCCCATGCTCCCAAGGGCTCAGTCCCTCCTCCTAATGCAGTGTCATGGGCAGATGTGTGTGGGCTGCACTCACCTCCCTGCCCAGGTCATGGGAGAGGACTGTCCCTAAACCCCAGCCATGGGGGACAGTGCTGGCCATGGCCACTGGCTGGTCTTGGCCTATTTACTGCAGCCCTTTGACCTGATGGTCACTGATGGTGTTGCATCCAGCTCTGGCCACATGCTGGGATATGGCCAGAGGATATTGGCAGAGGCAATGTCCAAAACTCTCTTAGCATCCAAAAGCCACCTCTGCTGGTAGGTAACTTTGTGGTAATCTTGTCATCTCAGCCTTGTTTAAGTAGTTTCATCTTGTAATTATATTTCCAGTCTCATGAACTGATTTGAGTTCAAGCTTTTGTTAGTCCTGGGTAGCTCTAGCAAAGGACTTGGCTGAGTCCAGGCACATGACTTTAATCACAGCCATGATTAAATTGGCAGCATTAAGTTAGCAAATTTAAATGGGTGTGGTGTCCCCAGCCAAGGCTGTTCAGGGACCCCAGGGTCTGTGCTGCAGATGCCCTGAGCTGCTGAGCCCTTTCCAGTCTGGTGCTTACCAGATGCACATCAAAAGAACAAAGTCCCACCTGGAAAGGACAGGTGACAGTCCCTGGCCATGAAGTGCAGCTGCTGGGTTGGGAGGTGGCCAGTGGGTGACACAGTGGGGTCTGGGGGCTGCAGCAGGCAGTTTCCTCCACTGCTTGGCATTGCTATTCTCCTGCAGGTCCTTGTCACTTGAAGGGCCACCCTGATTTGCAGTGCTGTCATGAAAGTGAGTCCACAGAACATACCTGAATACTGCCATGGCACTTTGCTTTCTGCCACAAGTCATGGCAGCAAGAATGGTGATGGTTGTACTGGTTATGGGAGAGGTTCCCAGCACTGCCCACAGCAGCAGACTCCACTCTGGACTGCAGCAGCAGTCTTATATTTTTGCAGTGGGAACTCAAAAGTTGGAGTAGTCCTGAATACTTGCAGTCCCCAGAAATATCAGGAAAAAGTGCATTGATTGTGCTGAAAAGTAGGGTTTAGGGCTGGTATTGTCACTAATCTTTTTGTTGCCTCTGCTTGCATAGCACCACGGATTTGATTTGGGTTATGGACAGACTGGACAACAGGAGCAATAATTGTTGTTCTAACATTAAATGTCTTTAAATATTAATGATGATTCAAAACTTCTGGTTCTGGCTAACTGTGAAACTAAATTTTAGCTGACCTTCATTAATGCATCTCTGGGATGGTAACGGGTCTGAGTAATGTGATCTGAACATGTGCAATTGTGCCAGTCCCAAAGGGAGCTGAGTGCTTCAGTGGCAGCGTGGAGCCCCTCTGAGCACTTCTGCTCACAGAGGCACCAGTTCCTCTCAGACACGGGGGTGCTTCTCCACGGGTCCATGCTCCCACCTGCTCCACGGAGGAGCATCCCCCAGCCCTCCCTCTGCCCGTGCCTGAAGCCTTTGGCACAGTCACTGCTGGGTGATCTCACTGAGCTGGCGTGGGCACTGCTGCCATCGGCCCTGTTCCCACTTGCCCAGGAGCTGGGCCTGGCAGTGTAAGCAATAAAGCTGATTGAGCTGCTGGGCTTTGCAGGGGGAGCCGGAAAGCTGTGATCAGCTAAAATTAGCCCAAGATCCATTTTTAGTTAGATCTCTGTTGTGAGGGCTTTCTTTGTTTTGTTTTGTTTTGTTTTGTTTTGTTTTGTTTTGTTTGCATTTTTGGGGTTTGAATGACATAAAATTAGCTCCTTCTGAGTTTATTCCGAAAGTGGCATTAAGAGCTTAAATGTTCAGTGGAGATGTCTGTAAACCCATTGAGCTGCTGTGATTTCAAGGCTGAGAGTTTCAGCTTAGCAAGTGAAGCACACATGAACCACTCCTCATTTCCTATGCCTGGACACTTGGCAGGGGCTCTGCTGGGATGTGGAGATGTGCTGGGCAGCAGGATGGGCTCCAGCAGGGAGGGCTTCCCAATCGCTTTGTCATTTGCATGTGAGTGTGGGGTGTACATACAGACATCCCTGACTCTCAGCTGTGCTCCTGGCAGGCACTCTTGTGTCAGCATGGGCAATGAAGAAGAACCGGGTAACACAGTGAGGGTGACTCTCTGCCACCTGAACTTCAGTTCCATGGCTTAACCACAGATTATCTATCTTGGCTTTTTTATTATGTCCATCTTAGCTCACATAGACTAACTGCTGTTTGCTCTCCCTTGCAGGCTCTTGAATCTGTTCTACAATGGAAAAACTGCTTTTGTTTCTGCTGTTCATTGGCGTAGCGGTGCGAGCTCAGATCTGCCCCAAGCGCTGCGTCTGTCAGATCTTGTCTCCGAACCTCGCCACCCTCTGTGCCAAGAAAGGGCTCTTGTTTGTTCCTCCCAACATTGACAGGAGGACCGTGGAGCTGCGGCTGGCAGACAACTTTGTTACAAACATTAAAAGGAAAGACTTTGCCAACATGACCAGCCTGGTGGACCTGACGCTGTCCCGGAATACAATCAGTTTTATCACACCTCACGCGTTTGCCGACCTGCGCAATTTGCGGGCTCTGCATTTGAACAGCAACCGATTGACTAAGATCACTAATGACATGTTCAGTGGGCTCTCCAATCTCCACCACTTGATACTGAACAATAATCAGCTGACTTTAATTTCTTCCACAGCTTTCGATGATGTTCTAGCTCTCGAGGAATTGGATTTGTCTTACAACAATCTGGAAACCATCCCTTGGGATGCGGTGGAGAAAATGGTCAGTTTGCACACTCTCAGTCTTGACCACAACATGATTGACCATATTCCTAAGGGGACCTTCTCCCACCTCCACAAGATGACCAGGCTGGACGTCACATCCAACAAACTGCAGAAGCTTCCGCCTGATCCGCTCTTCCAGCGCGCTCAGGTGCTGGCAACCTCAGGAATTATCAGCCCCTCAACGTTTGCGCTGAGCTTTGGTGGGAACCCCTTGCATTGCAACTGTGAGCTTTTGTGGCTGAGGCGCCTTTCCAGGGAGGACGACCTGGAGACCTGTGCCTCCCCCACGCTGCTGTCTGGCCGGTACTTCTGGTCCATCCCAGAGGAGGAGTTCCTCTGCGAGCCCCCGCTCATCACGCGGCACACGCACGAGCTGCGCGTGCTGGAGGGGCAGCGAGCAGCCCTGCGCTGCAAGGCCCGGGGGGACCCCGAGCCAGCAATCCATTGGATTTCACCCGAGGGCAAACTGATTTCCAACGCCACCAGGTCCACGGTGTACGACAACGGGACGCTCGACATCCTTATCACGACGGTGAAGGACACGGGCTCCTTCACCTGCATTGCTTCCAACCCAGCAGGGGAGGCCACGCAGACGGTGGACCTGCACATCATCAAACTCCCCCACTTGCTGAACAGCACAAACCACATCCACGAGCCTGACCCAGGCTCCTCGGATATCTCCACGTCCACCAAGTCGGGCTCCAATGCGAGCAGTAGCAACGGGGATACTAAAGTCAGCCAGGATAAGAAGGTGGTCGTTGCAGAAGCGACGTCCTCCACGGCTCTGCTGAAATTCAATTTTCAGAGGAATATACCTGGGATACGTATGTTTCAAATCCAGTACAATGGTACTTATGATGACTCCCTTGTTTACAGGTAAGGCAGCCCCAGCCTGCCCATGTGGGACCGTGCTGGGTGCTCGGTGCTGGCGTGTGGTCCCTGGCCTGGGCAGCCCCTCTGCTGGAGCTCCTGGGCCATGCTGTGCCAACTGAGTGGAGCCCAGCCCTGGCAGCTCCTTGTGGGAGCCTCAGGAAGGACTCGTGCCATTTCTGCTCACAAGTGGGAAAATCACTTAGAACAGTGTTATTTTTAGATAATCCAAATGGACCTCTAATCCTCTGAACTGATCTGAGAAAGGTTGTGAAGGTAGATGGATTAAATGGATCCTAATGTGCTCGGCTTTATGGAGGCACAGGGAGGACAGTGTCTGTGACCGTGTTTCTCGCAGAGCTTTCTGCTGGTGCCCGTGCTGGGGAGTGCAGGGGGCCTCTGTGCTGCCTGGTGTAGCTGTTGCATCCTTCAGCATTGGCTTTGCTTGGTCATTTCTTCTGCAAATTTCTTTATCCATTACTAGGACAAGGGATGTTTGCTTTAAACTGAAAGAGGGTAAATGTAGATCAGATAACTGAAAAAAATTCTTCCCTGTGAGGAGAGTGAGACCTTGGCACAAGTTCCTCAGAGAAGTTGTGGCTGCCCTATCCATGGGAGTGTCCAAGGCCAGGCTGGACAGGGATTGGGGCAGCCTTGTCTAGTGGAAGGTGTTCCTGCCCGTGGCAGCAGGGTGAACTGGATGGTCTTTAAATGTCGCTTCCAACCCTAGCCATCCTGTGATTCCATGTTTTTGGTGTGGTTGTTCTGATAAGGGGCTCTGCCATGCTGAGCCATGCCAGGGGGCTGGGCAGTGACTGCTGCTACATCAGAGGCCAGGCAGGAGCTGCTGGGGGGATGGAGATCAGCCCCACGGACAGAGGCTGGGGTGGTGCCCAGCATGGCCTGGGCTGCCCCACAGCGTGGGAAGGTGCCGGTGTGTCCTCCAGGTTCATTCACACTGGTCTCCTTCTCCCCCAGAATGATACCTCCCACGAGCAAAACCTTTCTGGTCAACAACCTGGCTGCGGGGACGATGTACGACCTGTGCGTCCTGGCCATCTACGATGACGGGATCACCTCGCTGACGGCCACCAGAGTGGTGGGCTGCACACAGTTCACCACCGAGCAGGATTACGTGCGCTGCCACTTCATGCAGTCCCAGTTCCTGGGTGGGACCATGATTATCATCATCGGTGGGATCATTGTGGCGTCCGTGCTCGTGTTCATCATCATCCTCATGATCCGCTACAAGGTGTGTAACAACAACGGGCAGCAGAAGGCCACCAAGGTCAGCAACGTGTACTCGCAGACGAACGGGGCTCAGATCCAGGGCTGCAGCGGGGTGCTGTCGCAGTCCATGTCCAAGCAGGCTCTCGGGCACGAGGAGGGCGTCCAGTGCTGCAAGGCTGCCAGCGATGGTGTCACGCAGTCGCCGGACGCCGGCTCCAGCCAGGACTCAGCCACCACTACCTCCGCTTTGCCTCCCGCCTGGACTTCCAGCACGTCCCTGGCGCAGAAGCAGAAGCGAAAGTCGGGGCCAAAGCCGGGCAGCGAGGCACAGGGCGAGGCCGGCGGCAGCGCCGAGCCCCAGAACTCGAACAGAAATAACTCCACGGCCCTGCAGCTGGCCAGCCGCCCCCCTGAGGCGGCCCACTCGTACAAAAGAGCACAATCCAAGCCAAGTAAGTTCCTGACGCTGCCGGCCGACGCGTCGCGGGCCAAGCGCCGGCGGTCGCTGGGCGGCGAGCTGCTGGAGCCCCGCGGCGCCCCCGGCCTGCGCTCCAAGCGGAGCCTGTCCATGAACGGGATGCTAGTCCAGGCTGACTGCGCCGATAGCGGAAAAGCAACTTTCTCCAGTTCTGAGTGGATATTGGAAAGCACTGTGTGACCTGCTTTTTTTTTTTTTTTTTTTTTTTTTTTTTTTTTTTTTTTAATTTTTATTTTAACTAAAAACAAAACACCAAACGTTGTGTGAAACTCCCTTTCCCAGGGAATTGGATTTGGATGTCCACTGCTGTCTCGCTGATTAATGGCTTGTTCATGCGGGGTCTGTATAAGCCACCCAGTGCACACCGGGGGTTATTTAGTTTTTGTTTGGTTTTATTTAATATCAAAACCGAAGGCAACAATCAGAGATTAAAAAAAAAAAAAAAAAAAAAAAAAAAAAAAAAAAAAAAGGAAAAAAAGATTAAGGGGTGAAAAAAAGCATGAAACAGCACCAGTGCCTTCCCTGCTCTAGGACTGGCTTCCTGGTTCTGCAGTAGCAGAAAACAAAAGAGAGAGTTTTCACAGAAAAAGCCTTTTATAAAGGAAATACAATTTCCTCCAAGCTAACGAATAACCACTTCTGGATCAATCAGTAAAATGATATTTTTTAAACCGGTCAGACTGTATATTTCTTTTCCGTGACAATGGTGTTGCCTTTGTTTTTAGGCAGATGCTGTACAGGAGCAACAACGCTGTGTTGTTATGTTGTGTAAAATAAAATATTCACTCGGTACTCCAGCCAGCCTCGCGGTGACTGCCCTGCCGGAGCAGCGGGGCCTTGGTGCTCCACAGCTCCCACCGTGGGGCTGGGAGGAGGAGGAGGAAGCCCCAGGGTGTGGGGTCCATCCCTTGTGCCCCATGGCCGGGCTGGGCACGGGGAAGCAGAGGGATCCCACACGGCTCTCCCTGGAAAGGTGCCTGACCCACGGTGCGGGCAGAGCCTGTCCTGCAGCCTGCGGGAGGGAGCGGGGCTGGGCCACCTCGGGGTGCAGGGCAGAGCTGAGCAGGACCATGAGTGGCCAGGTGGGCAGGAGGCCAGGTGACCAGGTGGGCATGTTATCAGGTGGGCAGAGGGCCAGGTGGCCAGGTGAGCAGGGGGCCAAGTAGGCAGGTGGCCAGGTGACCAGGGGGCCAGGTGATCAGGTGGCCAGGTGGGCAGGCAGGGCTGCAGCAGCAGGGACACGGCCATTCGGCACCTGGGCACTGGCTGGGTGGGCAGTGATGGTCATATCCTGCTGGCCTGGGCTTTTGGGGCGTATTTCCCATGAACTTTATGGTTTGATCCAGTTCTTTTCAGTCCCTGAGTGCTTTGAAGGGCTGGAGGATGATGCTCTCACCTTTGAGCTGCTCTTGATTGTGGTGCCTGTGGACACAGTGATTTCGGGCCCCTCTGGAGGGACAGAACCCCACAGCAGCAGGGGACAGCAGGTGCAGATTTCGTTGTGTGGATGGCAGCTGCTCTGCTCTCTCTAAAGGGAAACCTGCAATTAATATTAATTAAACTCATATGGTCATCATATTCAAATTAGAGACAGCTTAACGCTGAGTATTTGGGCACTGTGCATTCTCAGATGCCAAATAATAAGATGGGCTCTGTGGCCATGAAAGTGAGAGAATAGTTAAATTTTATGCCCTGTCTGCTTGTTCTGGGGACACTAGCTGAGGCAGGAGCCTGAGGCCAGCCTGGCTCCAAGCAGGGCACTTGTGGGGGAATCTCACAGTGGGGAGCAGCCCCTGCACCCCCACACCAGCACGGGGCTGATGCTCTTGGCCAGTGTGGGTGGCTCTGGGTGATTTTATTGCCTGTCATGGAAGAATAAAGTCAGTGAGGGTGGTGTAAAGGATCTAAAAGGAAGAGGCTGATTCTTTTTTAGAAACCCTTTTTGCTTCCCTCAGGAAATGCAGAGAACAAATAGGAAACAAAGCCTCAAAATGAGAAAACCCGCTTCCTGCTGGAAAAGTTTAAAAAAATGCAATAAATCCCTCCTTGGATTGCTCTGGCAAGCCATGAGCACTGCAGGAACAGAAGGGAGCTATTAAATAACGTGCTGTCAAGGACAGGGGTGGTGTGTGCAGGGTCTGGCAGTCTGTTGACAAGGGTTTTGCCCAGGGTGAGTAAATGTGAAGGTCTGAGCCCCAGGGAGGGACTGTGCTGGCAGAGGCACCTTCCCCCCCACGCTGGGGTACAGGGAGAGTGTCAGAGGTTTGCTGTGGTTTGATTGAATCATGCATTTTAAAAACATCAAATGAAAATGCTTTTATATGTTGTCTAAAACTGGACCTAAATCTGTGTGATGTTTTGTGAAAGTGCTAAAATACTAATGGTGTCTTGTGGTTTAAGGAAGTTTATTTTTATATTTGTAATTTTTCACTCAAAGGAATAATTTTCTAAGCACTGCAGCTGATGCTCTGTCCATGGTGCCTGTGTGTCAAGCAGCGTTCCGGTTTGATTCTCTGCTGAGAGTTCAGGACAGGGGATCTGGGCAGCCGGGGGTTCCTCTCATTCCAGCTTCTCTCCCTGGCTGAGAGGATCATCCCTTGGGAATGCCCTGGGCATGGAATCATCTGTTCCCACTGGAGTAACTGCAGTGGGACATTTTGTTTTATTCAGGCTTGATTCAAAGTGTGGGAAGCCTCATGGAGGAGGAAATTCTCTGTCCTTTCTGTTCTGCAAAAACCATAGGTTGCCAACTGTGTGAGATAGAAAATGTGCTGAGATGCTCCTGGATCAGAATAACATCAGGCTATTTCCCCCAGACTGGAATAACTCCTCAGTGTAGGAGGTGATGGAACGGGGGGGTGATGTGCTGTGGCCCCAGATACAGGGGGGTCTGCAGGGACATGAGCCCAAGGTGCCTCCCTGCCCCTCAGGCACTGCCTGCCTGCAGCTGGGCTCTGTGCTCCTGCTCAGCCATCGATTATGGGAGATTTCAGCCGTCAGAGGGTCTCTGTGGTGGAGGAGAAACTCCCTCAGAAAGTTCTGAGCTCCTAGTGCACTGGCTGGAGCACAGGCCCTGGCTGGAGATGGGGCTGTGTTAGGGGCTGGAGGAGCTGGTGCTGTGT